AGGTCGGTGGTGGGTGGCACGGGACGGGTGGCAGCACTGCGGGGCTGTGACGTGTGAACGGAGGTGCTGATCACTTCTTTGCTAAACTACCCTAAAGATTCAGTGGCACTGTTTGGTTTTTCAAATGACATTTACATCAGCATCTTATAATTGAGTCAGTATCACTTTACTGAAAAGGTTAAATTCTGCCTTTTAAAAATTAAATCAGCTGTTTAGCTGCCAACCACAGTCATGCCCTCCTGTTGCCTCAAGAAGAATGAAACATTGGCATATTGACATATAAATCGTATTGCTGGAGAATGCATTAACTCTCTTATTTATGACTGTATTGTGCCACAAAGTGCTGCAGCTTGTAATTGAAGGCTCTCTGCTGAATTCGTTGCCTGTAAAATCTGTGGAAATTATTAGCACAGCACATTTCCATAATTAAAGTATTTCCTGCAGTATAGATTTGAAGACTCTCTAACTGCCATACATGACTCAAATGCAAAATTTTATGAAAATTTGAATACAAGCACAACAAAGTTTTTATGCATAGAGAATATTTTTAATTAGACCAGTTTATGTAGTTGGGAAAAGCAATCAAATTAGCTGAGGTCAGGGACCCTTTTCAGGTGACCGATGAAAACTTTACTTGTTGCTGATCACAAAAAAATGTGCAGCATTACACTCATAGAGTGATCTTTGCCTTGCCATCAGTGACATAACCAAATAATTAAAATTAAAGCTATAATGAAGTGTTCATAGGAACTGTTGGTTTCAGGGGATAATTCTTACTAATGTGATGTTCCATTAAGAGTTATCCTAAGGTGATGTTAATATTTTGATGGTTTGCATCAAGACAATAAATAAGCATTTTCTTTAGTCAAAGATGTGCAGGCTTAGATAGCTCCTGAAGCCAGACCATGCTGCAAAACAAAGAATTTTAAAAGAATTCCCTCTCCCATTCTCTTGTCAGTAAAAAATGTGCCAAAATATTGTAGATAGCGTGGAATAGTGCTTTAAATATTAGCTGTGTGTCTGAGAAGTCCATTTGTCTTGTTAGGGCTGTCATACTACATTACCCTTTCTGTAACCCTGGAAACAACTTCAAATACTGTGATATTGGAAAAGTCTAAAATATAACTTGCCCTTAAAATGCTATGAGTGTTTTTTGAGACTCCCTGTAAAAGGGAAGAAAAAATCTTTTCACTTTACAGAGGGCATTAAGCAATGATGGATGTACATTTCTTTGTGAGAAAGCTGATCCTCACCTGTTGTAGATGAGGGTGAGAAATTATGCTAGCAGCACTGACAAGTGTCCTCTCTCTTTACCTGCCCATAGAGTTCAGGAATCCTTCTCTCCAAGTGTTGCAGGAGAGGATTTTCAGGAGGCAATAAATAAATTTTGATCCCTCTGGTTAATACAGTTAAGGTCAAAGAGATTCTATCTGGAGCTATTTAAAATACTCTTAACATGCAGACATACTGCTGTCAGTAGTGCTAAGTGCCTTATCTTGCTGAGGGGTGTATACAACCCTTATAAAACTATTCTTAAGTATTCTGGTTACTATATTTAGCTGTGGTTCATAACAAGACAAAAAGCATTTAGCTAAATGTAGTCCTGAAGTGTTTAATCCGGTTAAGAATATTTTGTCCTTAGGTGTCTTCTACTAAGACTTTTTGTAGCTCACGATCCTGCTGCATCATGCAAAAAGCTGCTCTGTGTGTTTGGGCCTGTGAATTCTTTTATGGGCATTTATTCTGCTAGAGCCTTGGAGTCTGGTGCTGACTGAAGACATCTCTCATGTTCATTGGGGGTATTCCACTGGGACTGACCAGGGAAGCCTCATTCCTCTGCCCTACAGCAGTGGGATGTGATAGCTGCAGCTGGAGACTGGAGAATCTGGACTTCATTTCCCAATTTAGACTCGGTGAGCATTAACTGGACTGTTGTCTCGCTCAGTGACCAAACAACTTCCTTCAACTTACTGCCATTCAAGCTGGATGGGAGAGCAACTACGTGTACAAGGGGGAAAACCTGTCAGGATTCCCAGAAGTTTTCGGTTGTTAGACAACCTATGGGCAAGGCAGTGCGAAGGTTTCTGCATAAAGCTTTGCACTCAAAGCTTGTGAAGAAGCCTTTTGTTTGTCTGAATTTTTGTGTTCTTAGGCCCATAAAGAAAAAATGTTTCCTGAAAACTGTGATAAATCTGTTTGCCTAATCACAACCTTTTTAATAATTTTACCCATTGCTTTAAAGAGAATTTTCTTTGTACCTATCTCCAAAATTATGAGTTAGCAAAACTTCTGTATGGGTCATTCTTCTAGAGGAGGAACAACTGTATGATTTTGATAACACAGCACTGACTGATGAGCAGCAGTGACTAAGATAAGCACCTGAGTTCTGTGATAGCTCAGCGGGGTAACAAATAAGATCACACGCTCCTTTTGAACTAGAGTAGAAGTTTGTAATTTGACCAGCTTACAATGACTGTGAGAACAGAAGCACAGCAGATCCACTGGGTTGAAACTTGTTACCTAGCTGTTGTTTTCAGTTGTGGCTTCACTGAGGTTAGCAGGAGTTGCATGAGATTTTCCCTGGAAGTTCATGTTCCAAACTGAAAATGATCACTTCATCCCAACTGCACTTTTTACTGATTTGCTTACTGCTGAAACACATTTGGCATTTTATATTGCTCTTGTACTTCTGTTATGTTAGGAAATTCAAGCCTCTTGCAGGTAACTTCCATATTACTGTATGTAATATGGAATTATATATGGAATATGGAATATATACCGACGACTGTATCACACTTTATCTGAGCCAATTTTTGGAGCAAATGGACTGACATAATTTCATGTCACTGCAACGAGCAGGAATTTGTCCCATTGTCTCACGTTACTCACATGACCCCCCCCACACACAAAGGACTCTGACTGTATCACTGGTTGGGATCTGTGTTACTCATGGTGTTTAGCAGCAGCCCTAGATTGTCAGCTCCTACCCTGTCCCAGCTGCCCTTTCCAGTGTGTGTGCCTGATGTCTGTGTCTTGCAGTGGTTCCTCAGCCACCTTCTTGTGTTTCCTTCCCTTTGAGTTATTTTCACCAGTTGGAAAAATGAACAAGCTCTTGCTAGTCCTTTAGATGATCAAAAATAAGAGGGTATGTTTGCTTGTTTATCTTTTAGTTACAAATATGTAATCCCTCATAGTGGCAGTGAGTATTTTGCAGTGCCTTGAACTGGAAGCTAATGGTAACAGGAGAAACAGCCAAGAACCTGGGCTCAAAGTGGGAAGATCACTTCAAGGGCATTAAAAGCTTGTTAAATTTGGAAGCCCAGCACTTGGCTGTTGTTGAAGGTATTACTGTCTGTCATGGACAGTCTGGTTGCATCTGTATCCTTCCTGTGAATGAGGCTCATCTGAAGCCAAATAAATTTCAACATGGGCACTGTGGTGTGGGTATAGTCAGGAGTTCAGGGTGTGCATCAGTAACCATTTAAATTGCAAACAAAAAGGAGACACCTGTGTCCTGTCAGTAGCAAATCTTAATGGAAGGCCTTAAATCCATCCACAGGTGGGTGGTTGTGGCATGCACTGACTTTAGCTGATCATGTTCATCTTGAGGGAGGTTTTTGGTCACAAGATTGGATAGATGAAGTATGGATCATACTTGCTGGTTTTCATAGCATGCATGCCAGGTAAACTGTCATACTTTGGAAGGACTCCAGTCAGTCTTCAGTGGCCCCAAGCTAGTAGGGCCATTCTTCCACCCTTCTGGGCCACATGAATTTTTGGACAAGAGAGGTCAAGCTGGCCTTTCCAGGCATCTTCTGCAGCAGCAGGTGGTATATGTAGAGCCAGGAGCCCCAGAACGTGGTCCAGCTCCCATTCCTGGAGGCTTTGCTGAGCTTTCACCAGTTATGCTTGAGCATGTTTCTAATTTACGGTGGTAGACTTTCAGCTTGAAGTGATTGCTGCTCTCTAGGCTAAGTCCTGCCTGCAACTATGTTTTAACTGGATTTACTTTTCCTTCCAGGATTAATTTTTCTCTGTCTCTATTTACATGGTGATAAGAAGTACTAATCCTACTCCGTCAGTCTGGACTGATGAATCTGAGGAATAGAACAGGTAATTTCTTATTTGACTTGTAGCTTTCAGTGACTCAGGCAGTGAGAACCATTCCCTCCCCATGGAGTGCATTCCTATTTTGGAACAAAAGAAACCATACATTTCTTCTGCCAAAGTCCTCTGCAAGGAGGGAGATCCTTGCCCTGGAGCAGGGAAGAGAGGGTAAATATTTGTAGCTTTTACTGTGAGCAGCATCTTTGACTTTGTTTCAGTTGTGTGTGGTTTTATTTCATGTTATTTTTATAGCTACCAAATTGTTTCAATAGTCTCAAAGCAGAGAAAAACATTTGGATGTACCTATTGAAGAATGTCCTGCTGGGCGGGGCAGGAGGGTTTTGCCAGTGAAAGTGCTCGCTAGAGATGGAGGCAGGTTGGTGCTGATGCCAGGGATGGGTGCCATCTCCTCTTTGAAGGTGTCTGAAGGGGGTGGAACCCGGCAGAGCTGAACTAGGTGACATGGCATGGAATGATGGCAGCTGGTTTGCCTGCATCTGCCTGTCTCTCCATCCCTCGGACTTAACCCATCTGAGACATAGAAAGCAAGTCACCAGTGAAGAAGTTACCCTCGTGTTGGATTTTCCATCATTTCACAGGACTTGAGAGTACTATGTCCTCACTGGGAGTTGTTGCCAACTGTTCTCCTTACCTGTGCTGCAGGAACAATTAGGGTAAAGACAGCAGCCCACCATAACTGTTCTAGTGCAGGGACATACAGAACCCAGGGAACCCAGGTCACGTTCCCTTCTTTTCGCTGGTTAGTACCAGGTGAGGAAGTTTTAGCTTGAAGTCTTAGGTATGAATCCCAGTGGTAGGATGCAGCAGATGATGTGGTGGAAGTCTACCAGCGCAAGTGAGTACTTCTGTCTTTTCCTTCCAGAGCCCTGTGTTGTGTAAACGAACTGATGGATGAAGATGAGAAGGACAGGGCAAAGAGGTATGAAGGCATGTGGAGAGCACTGAGGGTGGAAGCTCTCACAGGGAAGAATTGTAAATGCTGTGTTCAGTGCTTGAAAAAGTACTTGGGACCACTGATGTCAGAGGCAAAACCCCTCTGTGTAAAGGCTGTGTAAAGCAGACCACAAACAGCATAATTAAGTCACCATTTTCAAGCTTCTCATAGTGTGTTTGGCCACCCTTACGATGGGTTAATTGGCTGGGTGGTCCTTAAATTATGTTGTCGTGCCCTCAGAATCTTGTGTTATCCCGTGGCTATTTATTATCTTGATGCAGGACTCCTGACCTGTGATTTTATTGACATGCAGTGCTGCCCACCCGGGGTAGAGTTCCCTGTGAAACTTAGAGAGCAGTCCTGCTTTAGCACAGGTATGAGTTAGTCTCCCTTCAGAGAAGCATTTGGCTCAGTTCTAATTAGTCATCATACACAAGTGCCAAAACAGAGATGGCTGTGAACCTAAATGCTGGATCTGAGAACCTTGAAATGCCAAAACCTGAATATACATGGCAATGCATATTCATTTTTTCTGTATACCACACTCGATCTAGATCACAGGAAGCGTGTATCATCATGAATACACTTGTAAAGAAAATTAATTACTACTGGAAGAGGTTGTATGAAAATAGAGTTATCTCAGATATAAGCATTGGAAAGAACATTTTGGAAGAAACTGATTGGATTTGCTTTCTCCTTTATTGTTTTTAATGGAGGGGAAAACCCTAATAAAACATTCTTAAATTGCATTAATGAAAACTGGAAACTAGTCTGTGGTTTCTTCAGCCAGACTTTAACTTTCCCAGTTTCATATATCATGGCAGCAGATTTTCAAAACCAGATACAAGAGCATGTGCTTGATTTTATTCTGCAGTTGAGTTGTCTCTGCACAGTATTGTCTCTCTATAAGCTACTTTTGCAAGTACAAGTCACAGAATAAGGAATCCTTCACATTTTGACCTTTATATATGTATGTACTAACTGCAAACAAAAGCTCATATAAATGAGGTCAGCAAAACGTGAGCATGTAGATGCCAGGACCTCTCTTACTGGAGAAATTTCACCCATAACACCTTCACCTCGTTATCACTGCTTTTGAAACAATGGGAGCTGATGCTGAAATGAACAAAAAGATATGGTCTTGCCCAAATGAGTGTAAATCATATTTGTTACCTCCAGGTTTTCCTTGCTGATGGTGAGCTCAGCCCTGCTGCAAGGCTCTAAGCACCATCAAGGCACTTACACCCAAGCCTAATTTTAAACACATGAGCAGTCCCATCAGAGTTTAGATTCTTGTATTTAAAGTGTTTTACTGAGACAGGGCCCTTTATCTCTCCCTGGGCCGAGCTGTAGGTCCTTCATTTTATTTAGTGGCATTTATGTTTCTGTCTCCCAGGGCATCACGCAACAAATCCGAAAAGAAGAGGAGGGACCAGTTCAATGTCCTCATTAAAGAGCTTTGCACAATGCTGCAGGGCCACGGCCACCCTCTCAAGATGGACAAGTCCACAATACTGCAGAGGACTATCGACTTCTTACAGAAACAGAAAGGTACTGGAGGACACTGGCGGCAGTGGGTGCTGGCTCTGCATCTGCCCAGCAGCCAGTTTCCACTCGGAAGATGAAAACTAGTTTTCCCAAGCATCTAAGAACTCCAGAGAGGACAGGAACCTAAGCGAGGGACAGAATAAGGCCCAGCAGTTGGCCTCAGAAGGCAGGCTAGGTTTGAATACAGAGATGACCAGCTAAACATAGATATACTTGAAAAGATGTTGTGCTGTATGCTTTTTGATGTCGTGACATTGCTCCATTTCCCTCAGTGGCCTCCACATCCCTGGGCACACTTTGTACGCTCTCAAACAGAGGATGAGGAAGGAAGAGCTGAGGAACAGCATGCACTACAAAAGCCAGGGGAAAGGGGCTTCTCTGCCCTGTTCCCAGGTCTCTTGGGGTAGGAGATGGCTGGGTGCAGCCTGTCCTGCTGCCTAGGCACTCCTATTAGCCTTCCTGAAATGACTCAAGAGTCACGGACACCCTCTGCTCACGGTGATGCTCAGCTACTCTGAAATTAGCCCATTGACTTTAGTTTTTGAAGGATTTCTTCAGACCACTCAAAATGTCTCCTCTTCCTTTTCTTGATTTCTAATGCATTTGTATCATGATGGCATCGAAAATAACTGTTACATACAAGAAGGCTTTGTGTGGAGAATGATCTGAGAATGATTCCTCTGAAAGCCTCTTAAAAGAAATGTAGTGTTACTTGAAAATGAAAAAAAAAAAAAGTCCAACTAGCATGAGTCATGTTGCTTTTTTGATGTTTTCTCTTTAAGAAATCACAGCACAGACAGAAGCCTGTGAGATTAGACAAGACTGGAAGCCTTCATTTCTTAGCAACGAGGAGTTCACCCAGTTGATGTTAGAGGTAAGAAGAAATTAAAGCTACACAGATTAGTGAGAAGTAATCAGTTTAGTGGAGTAGTTCAGAGTTATATAGTTCCTTTTCACCTGTAGGTCCCAATGTTAATATTAATGATTTCTACTCTGCTGGCACTTATAATACAAGCTTGACAGAAACCAGTGTTGTGCTAAATGCTTTGCAGACAGAGAATTAAAAAATATGATTGCTTCCTCCTAAAGATAAACAGCTTTTCATTTAGGGATAAAGACCAATTTGGCCCAGATTTGGCCTGGTGAGAGAGGAAAAATAGAATTGCCCTTGTGAGAAGAGCCGCTAGAGCTAGCAGTTTTAGCAAAAACTTGAAAGGACCTGAAAAAAGCAGAGCAGCTCTCTTCCTCCCACATTCCATTATCCAGGCAGCATTTCCTTTGCTGCCTTTGCTGCTGCTGGCTGTGCAGTGCTGCGCTGGTGATGTGAACGCTGGATCTTTTGCTCGCATTGCCTTTAAGTGGATTCGGGAGAACAGCTCTGATACTCTCACCTCTGAAATGCTTAGCTGATCTGGAAAGACCCCATGAGCCTACATTTTTCCTTTGTTAAGGATGCAGCTTTGGGTTTGTGCTGCATGCTCCTCTGGCGAGGACATTGCCTACCCTGCGTGGGCAGCTGTTACGCTTTGCCCCACCAAAATAAGGGTGTATGCTGGGCTGAGCTGGGAGGTGCTGCAGTGTCTTAGTTATTCCTTTTCATCAGGATGTCATGACTCACCTCCCTGGAAAAGTCTGCTCATTCTTTCTGGGAATTTCTCTCACTAAACAAGCTAGTTTATTCCAGCTGAATCAAAACAAATTCCCCCCTTAGAAGTACAGGGGAGAGAGAGCCCTTTAATAACTGTTGGTTTGCTGGACTATGTTAGACCATTGGCCAGTTTACTTAAAATCAGTGTTTTTTTCCAGAGAAGGCTTATTTTCAGCAAAGGCAGAGTATGACAGTGAGGTGGGGAAGATGGTGAATGCTGCATCCTTGGCTCCCTGTAGCTAAGCTGCAGAACAGCCTAGGAGTGTCTTTAGAAGAGTTGGCTTTGTGCACAGTGCTGACCGGAGATTAAACCTCCCAGATCCTGGTAAGTGTTAGGGAAGAACAGAGACAGACACTGGGTCAACGGTACAAGAAGACATTGTGAAGAACAGGGAGAACACCCAAAGAGGAAAACACATTCAGTGACTTAAAAGGGACAGAGAACTTCGACTCTGGAACAGAAATCATTGTGAATAAAAAAGGGGGAACAAAACAGACTTCAGTTGTGTCACTAGCCCATCAAATAAGTGCTTTAAGCAAAATAAATACGGCTTTAGATCTTGTCCATATTGTTTGTTAATTGCTAAAAATACAGCATTGTATAATTTTTCTCTCTCCGCTTATCCATCCATCCATCTATCCATCCACAATGCTGGGTTTGCCGTGATGATATCTAACATCTCCTTACGCACCGAATTGGTTGACTATTGTGTAATTCAGAACACGTAACGAAGTCACTAGGATTGTGTGGGTGTAGCAATTCTAACCACCACTGTCTTGCTTCATGTTAAATAAATACTGGTTGAAAAATACAAGTCAATTTAATATTAATGAGCAGATAAGAATATAAGAATGTTGAATTAGACAGCATGTGTAATTTTTATTTTGCTGCATTGAACTATCATTTCCATAATTGATTTATGCTACTTTTAGGCTGTTAGAAGCATCACCAAAGAATAAATTAGCCTATTATACTTTAAATTGTTCCTTTACATAATTCTTTTTATTTTTTTCTTTTTTGCCTGCCTTTTTTCATTAGGCACTAGATGGCTTTCTCATCGCCCTTACCACTGATGGGATTATTATTTATGTATCTGATAGTGTATCGTCTCTGCTTGGACACTTACCGGTAAGTTCTGACAGCTCAATATATTGAAGAATCATCCCCCTGCCTTAACACAGCTCCATCACTGCAGGGCTGGGGATTGGTTTTGTCCAACTCAAGAGGCAGCTGATTGTGGGTGGGGGATAAACCACAAACTCTTAGGGAGTTTATCAAGCTCTCGGGAATAACAGATTCTCTGTCAGGGTCTGGGAGTTAGCTAAAAAAAAAAAGAAACCAATGCAAAATCACTGTACTCATAGCTCACCACTCGGCTGCACGTCTGAAGGATGATCTAGGTGGATTTTATCCCACCAGGTATATGGAAAATCTCATGCTTGTGAGATCTGTACATGCTGAAGCTCTTCTCAGATAATTTAAAGATTATTTCAGCATTGAATCTATGTTCTTCTTGGGTTTTTCTACTTTGAGCTCAAAGTCTTTAGTAACAAGTATGTGGCTTCAGTTTTCTGTGAGAATTTCTAGAAATCAGTTAGCTGTTGGGTGCAGAAATTTCTGTCGGCCGCTCAAAAATGTTTTTTTTTATTTTTATCTGGTGCCCAGCATGAGGTACCAGTGATGCTACAAGAGTGCAAATCTGAGCACACGGTTAACCTGGCTGAATGTCCTGGTGTGTAAAGAAGCAAATACGTGCTGACATTTTGGTCGAACCGCTTTAGTCAGGATGTGTGGGTTTATCAGCACTGAAACACTTGCAGGTCAAGCTGATTTTGCCAAATGTTCAGCCTAGAAGACAAATGGAGGATGTGGGGAGGAGCTCTACTATTTCTGTCTCATGCTCCCAAGGAGAAAAGTTTCAAATTTTCATTTTGATGTGATATTTCTCATGGTGTCGTATACCAGGGTTTCTTCTCCAGCTTGCATCTGGCTGAACTGAAGGCCAACCTCTGGGATGCGTTCAACCTATTGCAAATAGAGAGGAACCCCAGGGTAAAATGACCTAAGGGTTATATTCTGCCCTAGATCCATCTGCAGATTGACTGGGCTTCCTTCTGAAGCATCTGTGCTAGACTGGCGGTGTCTGTGCTGCAGGATGAAAGGGCGTGTGGTTGTGTCAGGCTGTGCTGCTGAACATGACAAAGCATTCTTTTGTATCAGTCAGATTTGGTGGACCAAAATATATTAAACTTTCTGCCTGAGCGGGAACAGAGCGAGGTGTACAAGCTCCTTTCTCCACATGTGCTCATGACAGATCCTGTTGCAGCTGATTTTCTAAACGGTAAGTTCTGCTCTTGTCTGTTGGTCAGGGAAATTTGCCAAAGGCAAACAGCTCCCAGGGGAGGCTGCACAGGGCTCGCCAGCTATTTAATTCTCCTGCCTGCCACTTCTGTTTTGCCACGGTTAATATTCCTGCTTTTTAATGCAACACATCATCTAATGTTCCTACATGCTCCTAGTTCTCGGACTTTGATTTGGACAGTCTTTGTTTTACTGTCTGCTCTGCATCACAGGGCCATGATGTTCCCTCATTAGATACTTTTCACAGGGCAGGATGCTGGACTGAGCCTGTGAAAGGAGTGAGGGGTTTGGGGGAAGGAAAAGGGCAGGAGAAATCCCAAAGGGTTTTGGCAGAGTCTTTGTTCCTTAGGAAGCTTTTATGTCTCAGGGCACCTGAGAAATCCTACATGTACTTTAAGACTCAGCCTATCTGAACAGTCCCTCCAGATCTCTACTGCTGGCTGCAGTCCCACCCCCAAAATGTCCCTTTCTATGAGAAAACATCCCCAGCAGCAGAGCAGGCAGCAGCATCTTCCTAATGGCCACGTTTCACCAAGCCTGTGTTGGGAGTCCCTTTTCCCAGGGGGTTCATGGTGGCTGGACAGTGCTAACCTCTCCTCTCTGCTGCCCCAAAAGTGCCAGTGGGACCTGGGCAGCCCTCGTGCTGGTGCTCTGCACTGGGCTTGGTTTCCCTCCAGCTGAAGACAGCATGGTCTAATCCGTGGAGTTCAGACCTCGGGCAGAAAACTGAGTAAGAGCTTTGGCACGGTGTCCTCCACCGTTAATGGAAAGGCTTAGGGTGACTTCAGTGACTTTTGGATCTGGGTCCTACTGAGCAGTGCCAGAGCAGAGAACTGCAATGTCACTTAACAGCTTGAGATCGTGCGTGCACAAAGTCAGGGGAAAATACCGCTGACCGATACTGCCAGGGCTTCACGCCCAGCGTAGCGGGGTGGCTGTAAAGCCATGGGAGAAAGGGTGAGAGTACTTTTCCTTAAGCAGAACCAGTTGATCATTGCTCCTAGTAGTTATATATTTACTTATGTATATCTCAGGGTATGCTCAGATAGCACAGCAGCAGGGTTGGTATAAACACCTAGATAGATTTGATATATGGAGTGTGCTAAAGTGCAGACTTCTGGTAACATTGTGTATGTCTCCCTCTCTCTCATTTCAGCAGAAAAACAAATAGAGTTTTGCTGCCATTTAGCAAGAGGCAGCTTAGATCCAAATGAACCCCTGATGTATGAATATGTGAAATTTGTAGTGGATTTTAAATATTTTACTCATGGTAAGTTACTGCCCTAGCCTACTTTTACCTTTCTACTTCTCTCCTTTAAATTGTGTGTTGAGCTGTAGCCTCCTGAAGGCCTTGTTTCAGCTGAATATGCCCTGTAATTGGCAGGGATGGCATGAGCTGTGGATATGATGGAGATATTTTTCATATAAGAGTGACGCGGAGGCTGTTGGACAGAAGAGTGCACTCTTCTGCACACTGTGCTCAAAGAAGTGATACCAAACTGATCCTACTTCCATTTGACCTACTGCCAATTGCAAAGCAGCCTACTCATTCAAGTAACCAGTAAAATATGCTATTCTGTTTCACTGTGGCAATCAAATGCCATTTTTTAAAGATTAAGTAGTTTGAGAAACCTGTAAAATCTTGAATCTTGCGAATGTTGAGCTGGAGAAAAGCTGACAAGGAGACTGTAGCTGCGCACTGTGGGCTGCTCAGAGCTGTCTTATGGAGCTTCCCTGCAAGCCAGGTGGTTACAACTGTGTAACTTGGAGCCTAAAGGGTCATACTTTAAATAACATCAATGTCTATCTGTGGCATCACATTGCGGGTAGGAGGAGTTTGTTGCTTGGGTTTCATCAGTCATTGTACCTGTCGTAACATGAAAAGAAAGGCCTCTTTCCTCTTCTTCTTAAATAAATTGTCTGGTTGCGTCTAGTGCCTACACCCTCCTGTAATGGCTTTGAGTCAGCTATTGCACGAGCTTTCAGGTCAGCCACGGAGGAGCAGATTTGCCTCGTAGCAACTGTTCGTCTCGTCACACCGCAGTTCTTAAAGGTGAGAGCTCTGTGACGGCATCTTCCCTTTCGTCTGGGGATCAGGTGGTGCTCAGCAGCAGGGATGCTGCTGGTACCATGAGCTGTGTGCTTGGCTGTTGCGAGGGGAGCCGTGTTGCAGCAGCCCCTCAAAGGGTATATTCAGCAGCACAGATTGTTTGTGCAGAGGGTTGGGCAATGAGAGAGGACACTGCTGAGTTTGTGAGTGGGAGATGACATCAGTACGTATTTGGAATGATGAGATATAAAGCAGGAGTTACTTTTGAGAAGAGGCGGTGGTGTGATGGGGTGTCTCAGAGCAGTCAGCCCAGGAAGAACCAACCCAAGGTGACCAGCTAAACCACTTGAGGAGTTGCAGCCTTTAAAGAAATACATCCCACCTCTCCTTTGTATAAGGAGGCCACCTGCATCTTGAAACACTGTGAACACCATGTTTCATGGACTTTCTGCTGGTCTGTAAGTGCCCCGTGGCACGGTGCAGTGATGACAGGGATAACAACCATAGGTGCTTCTTGCTCAAGAAACCATTAGCCAGCTCAGTTTGAGGCTGGACCTGGTGCTGTCATCCATCTTCAGATACCAATATTTCCAACAGCTGGAGTATTTTGCCTACAGACTGCAAGATGAAGCCCTTGGACTATTTATCCTAACTCTGAAATTCAGCCCAGGGTAAATTATTCATCCACTTTTCATCAGCTGATGCATCTATAAAACAAGGCTTATACATTCCTTAGAGGAAAATAAGTCAAGTGCTTTAAAAGCACTATATTTCGCTAGGGTTTTTTATGCCAAGAAGATGCATCCTTGGTCTTGATAGAGAACTCCTTTTGTCATTTAATAGATTTAAATGTCTGAATGTGCCAACTGTTTTGCAGGAGCTCTGCAATGTTGAAGAGCCATGTGAAGAATTTACATCGAGGCATAGTTTGGAATGGAAGTTTTTATTCTTGGACCACAGGTAAGAGTTTTGGTTTTAGTCACTTAAGAATAAACAAACTGTAGTTTAAAAACAGGAAGACTTTGTGAAGCTATTGCCTGAGATCCCAAGTAGAATAGCTCTAATTAAATGCAACTGAGTAAGTAATAATACTCTGAACTTACTTATTAGGCATCCTTAAATGCTTTGCTCTTTTCCATATTTTAGGCAGGTAAGAAACCATATAAAATGGTGGGAAAATGTCTGGAAAAATGTCTCACTTCACTGAGGTATTAAGTTATTAAAACTGAGTAGTGTGGGTCCTGTTCCCTATACTGGTTTAACTCCTCTGTTTTCCTGCTACAGCTTCCAGGAATCCTTCTAAATGTTTTGCTGTGTCAATAAACTTTTGATTTTCACCTTGAGAAATGATGGAATTTATAAAAATATAAAAATAAAAGCAAAAGCAGTGGATTAGATGATTTAATTACAGATTTATTTTTGACAATGCCATACTGTAGGCTAGGATTCAGCTTGGTGAATTAAACAGTCTGGAACTGCTTTATTAAGCTGATTAATATAAGATTCATTTTCTTCAAAAGAAACTGGAGGTTTTTGTTCACTCTTTTACTTGTCTGTATTTGACACGTATGCGTAAGCACATTGCAAAACCCTGCCTTTTCCATTATCCCTCCCTTTGCCAGCTGTGCAAAGGTAGTCATTACTAGAAACAGAAGACGAGTAAATAAAGCTTAGGGAAAAAAAATATTTGGGAGGAAAAAAATGTAAATATCATCTGCCCATTTAGAGCAAGAGAGAGAGAGAGCAAATATAAATGAATAATAACTTGCATTTGTGTAGTAAACGTGTGCCTCACACATCATACCTTGAAGCATGAAGGAACTGACCCTGTGAGAGCCCTATGGTTAATGATGTGTGGTTTGGGACAGCCAGCTTATTATTCCTCTTGTCAAGATCTTGCTGGAGTGACTCTGTTAGACTTTAATTGGCTTGTCCAATAATGCACATTTTCAGAATCAGGTGGTTAATGTTAAGATTGGCAAAAGACCCCTAAGCACCTTATTTCACTGTCTGATGAAGTGAGCTGGTTTTCCAAAGGGCTGTGTCTCAGCAGCTCCTGTGAATAAGGCGAGCAGGAGCTGCTTCGAAACATATCAAAGAGTCTTTTGATGAAACTGGGTTATGACTCAGAGAGGAATCTCTCTGCACTGGGTGCTTGCAGCCATTCCAACCCACTGATATCTCCAGTGAGGAAACCATTGTTACTGGGAGTAAATTAAGCTGATGCAGATGCTGAGGCAGAATTTGTGACAGCCCCGGATGTGAGCAGTGAGCCCAGACCCAAGAAGGAGTAAGGAATCGTGTGGGTTGTCTCATTTAATCACCAATTCCAACCTCTCTCCAGTACAGTCTTCAGGTTGCTGTGAAATGTTGTTGGGTATTTTGCTGTTTCTTGCTTATTTGTGTCAACTCACACCACCTGACACTGAGGTGTGTGTCAGCAGGGGCAGAGGGTACCCAGCGTGAGTTGGAATCAGGACCTTTGCTATCATGACAGCATAAATTGGAGTAAAGATAGATAATGCAGAAAGCACTCCATAAATCCGGATAAACATTAGAAAACTAGGAAAAATCTGTATTCTGGATCTACCTGTAAATATGTGTAGAGAGAAAACCTGTTACCTTTGAAAATGATCTATTTCTCTTCTGCACTGTGGTCCTCTCCTTATTTTCCCTTCGTTTATTAAAGACTACACTCAAAAGGCTCCCTGAAGACTGTGCATTTCCACTTGCACAGTGAGTTGCAGGCCTCAAGGCTGGAACTTAAGCAAACAAGACACTTTTAAATTGTTCCCCAAGCAAGGCAGCTCCTTGTCAAATGGCAGTTGAGGAGCATTTTGTGGTTGCTTTCTCATTTAAAGAATTCTGATGAAAGTCAGGAAAGCATAATACTTTCCTGATCAGCTTAAATGTTTATCTGATGTGCATCTGAAAGACATTATTGTCTTGAATATAAGCATATCATTAAAGATAGGAGAGACATCGGCCTGTTCTGCCAAAGAGATGGCAAGGAAGGACACTTTAATAAATACATGTATTATCATCATTAGCAGAAATCTGGGTCACATGAGGAAAAGGAACACAGTGCTCTATGAAAAGTTATTTGTATAAATAAGGCTGTATTGTGGCAGAGACCACTGTGTGCGAAGCGCACTCTGTTTCAAGAGATTTGCCATCAGAGAGCGTGGAGGACTGGCTCTTCCAGCCAAGCCCCTGTGCTGGGACTCAGGAGCTCCTGCTCTGACCTTGGTCCTTCTGGGGCTGCTGCTGAGCCGATCTCTGCCTGTGCTTCCTTTTCCCCTCTTTCCCATTTGGTGCCAAACTGCTCATGGTTGTGGGGAAGAGAGAGGTTATAGACCTGTCTGGGTTTTCTTTAGTTGAATGAGCTATGGCCACCATGTCTTTCAAGAGTACAAACGCAGAGCTGGGTCGCTCAACCAGGACAGAACTTCCCATGTTAATATCCAGAACACTCAGGATTGATCCATCCAAACCCAAGTGTATTCACACTTCAATAATTTTTTGCTCATATTCTTGGCCACCGTATGACATTCACCTCCCTTGAGAGGGTCACTCAACACACCAAGAGAAAGCCAGCAGGAGGGGCACATTTGATAGGCAGTGACACATTCAGACCACCCTGGTTTTGAAACGTTAACCGTTTCGCTAACACACCACCGCCTCATCGCCAAGGAACACACTGAACTTGGCAGGGGAGCCTCATGCTATCACCACATCCAGCAGCCAGAACAAATAGGTGGAGCCAAATTAGCACAGGTCCTGCCTCACCAAGTGCCATCCTTGAATTGGTGCAAGCAGGAGTGTACTTGAGTGCTAGGGGACAGAAGGACGCATGCTGATATAGGGAGCAGAGGCAAAACCAATGGTTTTCTCCTCACATTTCAGTGTTATTTCATAATCATAAGCTAGCAGGCTGTGGTGAAGGCTGTGCATAAGCTCAGTGTTAGGACGCCTGCTTAAAAAAAAAATTATGCATTTTACTTAGAAAGTGGAAAATCTAGAACTGACAGCAGAATAGTCAGGTAAGTCATTGCAATGTGCCCATCAAAATACTTCCTTGATTCCTTCGCTACCTGCCATAGAAATAACAGTCCTTAAAATCAGCCCCATGCCTATTCATATCTTTACTACCAGCGTAGAAACATTTTTTGCTGCTTATAATTTCCCAAACTTTTCCATGGGAACAATTACTTTTTCTTTTACCCAGGCTGGTCCTGACACACATTGCAGCTTCCCACTTACTCTTTCTTCTACAGTTACTACCCAGGTGACATTTACATCTAACCTACCGGGTAATTTTACTCGAGCTCCAAGTCCTTATGCACACGAACAGCCATAGTGTTTCCCAAGCTGTGTGGCTCAAAGGTGTGCTTAATGAATTGAGTCACTTGCATACGTACATGCCTTTCTCTACACCCACATAATGAATAGGCTATGAGACAGTAAACACACACCTTTTCATTTTCTCAATTTTTACCTCTCCCTCACTGTTTGTTTAGTGGTTTTTGGGCTTTGGGGTTTTTTTTTTGCTTGTATATGAAAATACATGGTTGTGTATATGAACATCCACTCCTGATTTCCCTGCCAAGTGAGTGTACGAGATGGTTTTGGTCACTAGTATCTCAGCATATCTGCCAGGATGTTGAAGTGTCAGGTTTTGTGCTTACTCCCTGCCCTTTGCTTCCCTTCTAGGGCTCCACCTATTATAGGATATTTACCCTTTGAGGTTCTGGGAACGTCAGGGTATGATTACTACCACGCAGATGACCTGGAGCTTCTTGCTAGGTGCCATGAACACTGTAAGTTCCTCTCCCTCTGCAGCATGCCTGTCTTTGATCTCCTTTGTCGCTCGTGCAAAACTTTTTAGTGTCATCGCAGAAGGCGTCTTTATCTGGGGCACGAGCGAATCCTCTGTTCCCATGACAGACTGTCATAGCTGGCGCTTACCTGGGAGGCTGAATCCATGCAGAATTCACTCAGATCAGGAACTCTTTGTGCACGTTTCCCAAATTGACAGATAGCCTGTTTGAGCACAGGTTGTCCGAGAGTGAAATGAGATTAATAGATGGGAAGTCAGAACTTTACACCCTCTGCCCCCAGTTTGTGAGGGCAGCTCCAAACCCTGGAAGTTTTGTTGGTTGTCACAGTTCGTGGGATCTTGCAGTTCCCCTGGGTTCTGGAGTCAGTCAGGAGGCTCAGCTCACCAACGTGCCTTCTTGAAAACAACATGTGGATCATCTGCCTGTGCAATTAAATGTTGTGAACCTCACTTAACTGTCAGTAAAATGCTTCTGGAGATTCAGACTTTTTTTTCCTAAATACAAAACTCCCAAATACAAATTCCCTGTGGGTGAAGATGGCTCATTTTTGATCAAGTAAAGCAGAAAAGTCTGGTTCAGGCTGATGTGTAAACATCAGAGAATGTCTGTGATGTTAATCTTCATGCAAGGCAAAATACTGTGACCTGCAAGAGCCCAGGAGGAGCCAGGTCAGAAGTAGCACTTAACTTGTGTACTGTGGCAGCACAGCCCATGTTCTGCTGAAGGCTGGAGCTGATCTGAGGAGGGGCAAAAGGTGGCAGCAGACCTGATCTACCATTGATCAGTGTGCTTTTCCTGCCGGATGAGCATGTGAGATGTTTTATCCCTGAGACTGTATTTTTCCATTTTGTTACATGCAGTTCAGACTGAGATATTGAGCCAGAATTAGGTCTGTCCTCCAGCTGGTTCGCATTGCCAAGCGCTGTAATGAAAAGTAACTGCACACTTTGTAAAATGCATCTAGGTAATCAGATATTTTGCCAAGAAATATTGTTTATAGGTTTCCTGTTGGGCACACTCTCTATCTGTGTGTCTCTCTGCTATCTCCATTTGAAAGGAGAGTGTTTTGTCAGAAAGAAGGAAGGACACTCCAGAGAGTGGAGAGAGTGGGATGCTGTAGTTGCTCTGAGACGCAGAGTGATGCAGGGACACCAAGAAACTCCACAGCCCCTCAGCACACTGGAACTAGACAACCTGATTTCATCTTGGGGTTGCAAACCACGCCCGTCTCTACCACATACCCTCTACCACTTACATGTCTAAGATGCTAAAGGGTCTAGCAGAGAATGGAGGAGATGACTTCTTTGAATGTCAAGTCTCCCCGCTCCACTTTCGTGCCAAGGCAAAGTGCTGGTACAAAACTGGCGTCGGGGAAACAGGTCACCTGGCCAAGCGCCCACAGGACACTGTGAAAGGGGCTAGATGCAAGTTGTGTCAAGTGCAGCAAGCGTGTAGATGGGAATAATAAAGGAATATTTTAATTGCTCTCAAGTACAGTACTTTTTAGTGCTGTTTGCTTAAAAGACCATTCAGATGGAAGTGAGCTACTTAACCAGACGATGTCCACTTGGTAATGTGTGCGTGCAGTTTGACATAGACACTGACTATATTGAGAGTGGGGTCAGATCATTCAGCAGAGAAACTATTTAGTGATTTATGTTCTACATCTCTACTAGCCACAGGTGCCCTCTTACATATTAAAAGATTATTTGCACAACACACCTGAAGGAAAGGATCTTTTAATCTTACTGCGCAAGGGGACAAAGTAAGGTGCTGGCAAAGTGACTTACTGAAGTTGCTTCAGGAAATCTCTGCCAGAACTAGGAGCTGAGTGATCCCCAGCATGGTTTGTTAGCCAGAAGACCTTCTAAGTACTTCATCTAAAGCCCATCACTATTAATGGGATTGCTAAAGAAGTTAGTCCTGATATTTAACAAAGTGAATGTGCGCAGGTGAGTAAGAATACTTGGGTTAGTGTGGCTTGGTAAGTTCCTGTTTGTCAGGTTGACCGCTCTGGGCAGGCATCTTGCCTACTGTGAAGTGAAATGGATTTGCTTAAAGCACGTTTCTATTTTACTTTGCATTAATGATGGGTATTTTAGGTGAGCATGTTTCATTGTGTACTCCAAGCAGACCGGGAACAATTAATGTGTTTATTTAATGTAGTTCCCCTCATTATGTTCCAGTTGTATTACACCACTTGAGATTTTTCTGGACATACTCTGATAATACACACCAGGTCTGGTGTATTTAGGTCATGGCTCATAAGAAAACTCTCAGTAAAACTGCTAAAACTCCACTGTCTTATTATTTTGTGCCATTATTAGGGTCCTGACTTCAAGGCCCCAGTCTTTGAAATGCATTCTCATGTACTTATGAAAGGACGATGCTTTGTTTAATTAATGTTCTTTATGCTTTTTTCAGAGGAGCCTAGGAATAAGTTAGAAGAATATAGCTAGTTATATAGTTATGCCAATTATTAGTTGTAGGAACAATCTCAAAATAGCAAAGTGCACTCTTGAAAAATCAGAAAAGAACCCAAATAAAAGCTCAGTACATGGTTATGTATCATCTGTCGTGTTTATAAAGCCACGAGAGCCGTTTTAGTGCAGTAGGAGACTGCGAGAGGGGAATGGGACCAAGTGGTTTTTCTAATCACCTTTGCACTGTGAAATTTCTCTTTGCTGTAAATTGGTTTCTTTTTTTGTTTAACAGTGATGCAGTTTGGAAAAGGAAAGTCCTGTTACTATCGGTTCCTGACCAAAGGCCAGCAGTGGATATGGCTGCAAACACACTACTACATCACCTACCACCAGTGGAATTCCAAACCCGAGTTCATCGTTTGCACTCACCTGGTAGTTAGGTAGGAGCAAGCACTAAAAACTTCACAGTGCACAATCCCACGTGCTCAACCATTATTTTTTTCTAATCATGTTTTGTGTTAGCTAAATATTTGCTGTGCATATTGACACACCAAGATGGTATGTAATTCTGTAAAACTACTGTGACAGGGAACACAGGGAAAAGCATAATGTCTTTTCATTACTTTTTTTTTTTTTTTTTTTTTTTGCAATTGGGCCAAAAGCCTGGAAGTCACCGTGTCCCAAGTCTATCAGTGTGTTACATTCCCCTGTTATCCCTAGCAATGACTTGGCCATAGGAGGAATTAAAGCTGCTAAGAATCAGCTGGATTTATGGGCATGAATGGGATCATACATCTCCTATAAAACCTTTTGATCAGAGCTTTAAATATTTATGACTTGAAGTGAGCTGCTGTCCTGCTGACCTTATTCCTCAACTGAAATCCAGCCCAGGATCCCCCTCTAGTGGGAAGCTGCTTGTGTTCAGTTGCAGACTCGTACAGGATGCTCCCTGATATGCACCTTCTGGAGGAGAATCTGCTTGATTGCCACTGTCATCTCCAAAAAGATAGTATTAGGACTGAGAATATATTTACTGAAGGGCGTGAAAAATCGTGACATACTGGTTTGCTCTACTGACTCCAGTAAACATACGGCTCACTGCGTCCTTCTTTACTGGCAGGAATAAATTTGTGAAATTTTTTCTGGTCCCCCTTTTTTCTTGTCAAACATCTGGAAGAGCAAATACTAGTAAATGGGGATATTCTGAAGGCTGAGAACACCTTACACCACTAAACGGGTGTAAGTGATCAGAGCTGTGTGTGCTGATATAAACTACATGTCAAGTGTTATTGTGAGCAAATGTTAGAGAGATTGCTTCTGAGTTGTGTTGCTCCTGCCATCCTTCAGGGAATTTGGCTTCACTTTAAGCTCTGACTTCATTGCGCATTAATTTTTTTCTTCTTTCTACTCCCAGTGCTTCTTAAACCTGGTGATATAGTCCTGAATAGATTTTTAAATTCAATTCTGTCTTATATAGTTAAGGTTTAGAATATATTACTGAAACATGCAGATTAAAACATGATTTCAGGAAAATTCATTGCCTGCAATGATATAAGTGAGTTCAGTTCAGCAACTTCTCAACATGAAAATTCCACAGTGCTCTGTGTGGTAGGATCTTCACCATACAGTAAACAATATTCAGACTGAAAAACTGGGTTTAAATATATTTTTTTTTTTTAGCTATGCAGAAGTTCGAGCTGAAAGAAGGCGAGATCTTGGCCTTGAAGAGTCATCAATTGAACTGGCATCCTCTTCTCTAAAGGTACCATGTCCCTTCACTGTTGAATAAGTAGGTGTTGAAACCAAACTGAGTAATCGCTTACCAATCTTAGGAAAATACCTGTTCTTTCTTCTCCTTCTCCTTTACTCCAATCTCCTCCAAGCCTGCAGTTGAGTTATGACTCAGGCAGATGCTGGGCAGTTCTCCACTGTGTGGCTCTAAACTGCCTGTCTTGGTTCAGGGATGTAACTGCAAATTCAGCAGTCGCGTTGCTGCTGTTCTGCTATTCATTACCTTTCTGAGACGATTAACAATACGTTAAACCACCTCAGTTCAGAAGCAGAGAAGCAGAGCTGGAGGCGAGGTTGCTTACCATTAGCAACATGCAGAGGATCTGAGAGCAAGGCAGCACCCCAGGGTACCTGTTCTGTTAATGCCAGCTCGTCCCTGACACTCAGATGAAGATTGGAAGTGAAGGGAAAACACTTATTCTAGTTTTCAGCTCTGTTTACACCGTTGGGCAGGATCACATCAAGTATAGGATTGTGACCAGAGCAATAACTTCCATGGCTTCAATCAGTCTTGCATCCCAACACGCTTGCCCAATTAACAAGGTCATTTTAATTATTTTTAAGTTTTTCCTCTCAGTAGTTTACAAATAAGACCAGTAATCACAGTAATTTCAAGTGGATTGTTGTGTAATTATCATTCCATTAGCCTCATTGATCTTCAGACGTTATTTTATAGAAGCTGTTTATGGGATGTATAGGGGAAGCTGTCCCAGAGCCCTTGTGCACTTGAGCGAGGGCTGTCTTGCAAACAGCTTCTCTGTCACCACAGCACAGTTCTGTGTCTTTTTCCCCTTTCCACATGATCATAGTATCACAGAATGGTTTTAGTTGGAAGGGACCTTTAAAGGCCATCTAGTCCAACCCCCTGCAGTGAGCAGGGACATCTTCCACTAGATCAGGTTGCTCAGAGCCTTGTCCAACCTGACCTTGAATGTTTCCAGGGATGGGGCTTTTATGATAGCTGAGATATTTTTCTGCAGAACTTAAGCTGCATCTGTTGATGTCGGGCAGATGGAGGAGAGACAGAGTGGTCACTCCCATTGCTTGATCTTCTGGAGGGGAGTGGGAAGCTGGGGAGCTCCCTGGGAGGTGTGGGGAAGGTGGTGGCATGGCCATGTGGTCACCCACATCCTGCAGGTGAAACAGTCTCCTACTGCCCAACAGTTATGGGCTGTTTGCCATAAACCATCTGGCAGGTGGCCTCTGTCATTTTGATGTGACAGCTCCAAACTCATTAATGTGAGTTTGGCACGCCAGAGTCGAGGTTTGATGGTGTGGTGCTGCAGTTCTGGCCCTCTATGCGCCCAGCCTGTTATTTTTCTCTGCAAACAAGCGATCAGGGAGGTGGAGGTCCCCTCCAGCGCTGTCCTCTCCTGCTGATGATCTCACCGCTTGTGCTTCATTCCTCACAGAGCCATAGCAGCTACCTGGACATTGGACCATGCAGCAGCAGCCAGGATGCCAGCCGGGAGGGACTATCACTGTCATCCCACAGCTCCCGGCGCTCCTCGCACACCGCTCTCTCCGACTCCGCATGTAGGTGCCAGTGCAGGGGCGAGGAGTGGGCTGGAGGGCAGAGCAACCTCCAAAATACTGGGGCTTGTCTGGGAGGGACCAAGCCAGGGCAGGGGATGCTCAGCACCAGGACTGATGTACTGTGCCCTAACAAGCTGTGGTAGGGCAGCTGGGCCACGGCCACGTGCTACCTCCTCCCTCTTCACCCACTGCCAGTGTGAGAGCAGCTTTCACCCAGTTTACCACCAGCTGAGTGTTATGGTTGTTTCCTGGGGCTCAGGGAACAGGAGGTGACTTGCTAAGCTGAAGCAATTTCATTGAGCCCCAAACCTCACTGACAAAACTTTTATTATGGAGTGGTTCAGTCCCTGAGGATAAATCTGTGCAGAAGGCTGCCTGCCTTGCCCACAGCTTCATGCTTATTCCCATGAGTGCCCCTGGCCCTGGGAGCACAGCGAGGTGGCCTCAGTGCCTGTCTGTGCAGGGCCGTGGGTAGGAGCTGACTCAGGGGGTTTTTCTTGAAATACTTGCTGGGGGAGAGTGGGAAGGCTCATCTGGAGACACCCATGGAGGGAAGGCTGAAACAGGGCCTTATCAGAAGGGAACCCCGCGAGTCAGGCAGGGAGCCAGAGTGACCACCGAGGGACAGCTTGGGGACCCACTTTGGCAGCGTTTGGGTGGCTGCTTATCTGCGTACACAGAGTTCATGCTTAGCCAGGGTACCTGGGCACAGGTCTGCCCTATCACAGCAAACCATCTCTTTTCCAGCCACGTCGTCCATGCGACACACGGACACCAGCACACCCACCCGGCCGTCGGTGCTGGGGGGACAGGCGGAGAAGGCAGCCCTGCGGCTGGCATCGGCTGGGAGCACTCAGGTCAGTGGTCTCTGCGAGCAAAAGCCTTTCTGATGCCATAAAGAAATGTGCTTGACAAACCTTGGTCTCGTCCTCAGAGAGGCTGGATCCCCACCTCTGAGTGTGCTGGGCTGGAGTGTGGGGTTTCCCAGGGTGGTGGGGAGCACTACTGGCCGGCAGAGCTGGAGGAGAGAGAGCTGCTGGAGGAGAGCTGCTGGAGGCTCCTCTCCTGCATCCTTTCGGGGTTCAGTTTGTTCCACCAGGCCAAATACCTCTCACACCACAAGCCTGCTTTCTTGGGGTTTGTTACATTACATGTTACGTTACGTGTGCAATGGCCTTTATCCAAAAATGGACACTGACACTGAGGATTTGCAATTAGCAAGGGACATGCAGGAGCTTAAATTCTCTCTTCAGCCTCATCCTCAGCTATCCGTGTGGAGCTGTCTAATTCCCTGCACTTGTTCATCACTGGTGTGAGCTGGTATGGCACCAACTCTGCACTGGAGGTACTATGGACCTCCAGTAAGGCAAAGGTTTCATTTCTAGGCCATAGCAACTCCTCAAGTCCCTGGTGAACACGTCCCTCAGCAGCCCGTGGCTCAGCCGGCAGTCCCCTCTCAGCACGCTGTGATGGTACGTGGTTTATTCTTGTTAAACACACTGGTATGGCCAGGCAGTGGGGCAGACTCAGTGGCTCCAATTCACTGCTCTCACCTCCTTGCTGGCTGGTGCCAGGGTGGGGACAAGATCTCAGTGGCCTTCCTGTTGCTGTTACTGAGATTTACCTGCAACCAAGTTATTGCAACCACTTATTTCAGCAAGGCGCCGGAGCAGCTAGGACTCTCGAGGAAATAGCTTAGAAGGTTGTGTCCTCCCATGTGTCAAAAACCATTGGGGGCTGCTGAAGGCTCATCTCTGAATTGCTGTCAACTAACTACAGGCTGACACAATGCTGAAGAGTTTTATTGCCCTGGGGGAGGAAGGGGATGTTATGGAAGGCTTGGGTTAGGCCAGAAAAAGAAAAATAAACAAGAAAAATGTAGGAGTCATAAACCATAACTATGAGGCCTGTCCCCACAGAGCTTTGAGGTCAGTGGAGTAAACATTCAGATGATAATACAGGGATTGAAGACAGCCAACATAGGTGTGAAGGATGGATCCCAGGCTGGGGTTACAGCCTCACTTGGGCCTGGCATTTGGCAAATACAATTAGCAGCTCAAGTGAAAGCCCAGCCTGGAGATGGGGCAAGGGTTTGCATGCAGTGTCTGCCACAAAACGTGAGTGGTCCAAAATCAGCAGTGTCACACTAAAGGGACAGGGGAGTCCTGTGCACAGAAATGTAACAGACCGAGATCTGGAGTGAGGCACTGAGTATGAGCCAGTTGTGCTGCTGCTCTTGGAAGTACAGCAGTATTTTGGTTAAATACGCAATTGCCATTTTTTGTCAGCATCGTATTTTCTATGGCAAAAGCTGAAAAGCAGTTGTTTTTCTGAAGCCAGCATCACTATGAATGTGAGTAGTAGGACTGGTCCTACCCCATGATCTTGTTCTCTGTTCTCTGCAGCCAGTGTACCATTTCCCCACCCAGCTGGGGATGATGCATCAGCTGAAAGAGCAGCTGGAGGAGAGGACTCGCATGCTGCAAGCTGACATCAAGACGCAGCAAGAAGAGCTCCACGTTATCAAAGAACAGCTCCAGCTAGTGCAGGACTCTAACCTGCAGGTACCCGCTGCCCCTGGGGCTTCCAAACCCACAAACCATTTGCTTTTCCTTTGAGCACATAGATTTCTAACACACTTGTTGGTGGCAAAAGCATTTAGAAATGAGCTCTGGATAAATTGGTAGTTTGGTCTCCCAAGAGATGAGTGGCATCAGTATCTGCTTAAGTACTGGATCAGTAATTTTCATGATTTAGAAAAAAACAATCCCAAGTTAATCTGAAGTCCTCCGTGCACAAAAAGCTCAGCGGTTTGGTGGCTGGTTAATGCTGCTGGATCCCCAGTGCCATTCCTGCAAAATGCAAGAGGTGTAATGAGCTGGAGTGGTTGCGGCTCTGAATAAATATCTGGGCACAAGATAACATTTGATTTTCTATCATTCATGATTCACTTTGCCCTGGATTTAAAGATGTTGCAGCTGCAGTGTTATATATGTTGATAGAGACAGCCTGGGAGCCAGAGATAGTATCTGCCAGGCAGGACAACCACCGTATGAGCCGCGACAACTCATGTATCTCTTTTGTTTAAAGATGCTGATGCAGCAGCCAATCCCTGTCGTCTTTAACAACGTGCAGCACCCGAGTCCCAGGAGGCCACTGCCACCGGGGACACCCAGGCAGACCACAGCCAAGAAGTCACAGCAGCCAGGCCTTATGGGGACGAAGCAGTACTGCAGCACCCACCTGCCATCACCACGCCAATTCCTCAGGGACCCCTGCAGCACGGCCGCCCAGGTCACTGGCTGCTTCTTTGTCTGCTTTGTCCCCTTTCCTGGCTTTTTAAATACTTGTCTGTTGTGTGTCCCCTCCCCATGGTCCTGCGCATCTCCTCTGCGCTGGCTTTACTCCACATCTGACATTACAAAACTTGTGTTGAGAGTCAGTTGCGAATGATGTCATTTAGCTGTAAAAATAAAAGCCAGGTAGCCTAAAAGCACTAAACCCTGGGGGCCACTGGAGCTGTCCTGGTGACCAGAGAGGAACCGAGGGTGAGGTTTGGGCTCTCGTTCACTTCTGTTTGTGGCTGTAACGTGCTCGTTCATAGCCAGAGTAGGCCTAATTTTAAAAGATTAATTTTCTTCTGCCTGAGAAATCTTGGAAGGCAGCTTTGAAAAACAAGTTTTTCATCACTAGAGCTAAATCCACTATATAGATTGTTACAACTCCTTGGGAAAGAACAGAGATGTCCAGAAGCAAAAAAAGACCAAAACTACTGCTTTAAAGGATGAGACGCTTTCCTTGGGATCTTCAGATCTGCACTCTTCCTCCACTCTGAAGCTAGTCTCTTCTCCCTCGAGCCTTGCATGCCCTCACCCTTGTACTCTGATTTCTGAAGAGACTGTCTGCTCCTACTGCAGGGGATCCCAGCACCTGCTGTGCAGGGGCAATAAATGCAAATGGGTTGGTGGTCCTGAACAGATATACTGTTCCTACTGCTGTGTTCAGGGAGAATATCCTGCTGTTTCTTCTCTTTTTCCCATCTGCATACTGGAAGCAGTTATTTTAGCCCTCTATTAAGGAGATTTAAAAACAGATATCTGTCTATGTCTTCATTTCAGGTACAGCAGCAGCACCTAATGAGAGGAAACCAAGCCCAGCAAACGTGTCTGCCAGGGCAGACGAGCATTTCAGTGCCCCTCTACAACAACCCCATGGTGTTTTCACAAACACATCCCGTTACAGTGGCTGCACAGATGCCGGCTGACAGCAGTGAAAGGCAACCACAGTCTGACTACAGCCAGGACAGGAGCCTCAGGTACGAACAGAGCCCTGCTGAGACCATCCTGATGGCAATGATAGGAAATAGCAATACCTGGGCAGCATGGAGGGCAGGCACGTCTGGGCTTAGGGGGGATGATGGTCTCTGGGTGCCACAGCAGGGATGTAGGGATGTTCCCTCCTGCAGAGATCTGGGTTTGTGGTGAGCCCGGTGTGTGTGCAAGCAAAGTGCTGTGCACACCATGCCATATCCTCAGGGGCCTGAAATCCTTTTCTCTTCATATTTCCATAAATTGTCCCTGTAGCTCAGTAACCTCTGGACATCTGCTGCTGTTAGAGGGAGTGAACAGGAAAAATGAGCAGGGACAGCCTTTCCCAAACCCATGTCTGCTTGCTCTGAAGCTCCAAAGTGTCATTTCTCCAGCCAGGACAAGTGCCATGGCAAAGCTATTTTTTCTTTTATACAGCGCTGAAGATGTTGTATAAAACATATGCAACTGCCCCAAACTATTCAACCCCCTTTCAGGGACATAACTACAGAGCCTGCCTCCAGGATCCAACCATTTCAAAATATTATGTAAGGAAATGAGATAAACCCTAGGGGTCTCACCATCTGTATAGAATATATTTCTTACATGAAAGGTTTAGCCAGTTTCAGCTCAACTCTGTGAGTGCATTAGACAAGGTGACAATAGCATCCCATTTCAGTAGCTTCTTTCAGCGTGATGCTTTGCATGATTTCAGGGAAGATTTTCAGGGATTTGTTTCTGGAGACTGACAGTCAGGAGTTTGGACCTCTCTCTTCCCTGACCGTCCTCTGTTTTTCCCCCACTGCAGGATGCTGTTGGATCAGTCTATCCAAGCCATGATGCCTGCTGCCAACGGCAGTGGCCAGTCCACCCAGAGCAGTGCCGGCAGGCAGCAAGGAAAGTGAGTCTCTGCTGGCCCTTGTTTTCATGCAGTGTTTTAGCAGGGCACTTTATGGCACTAAAAATTACTTTGAAAAACTTTTGTGTGATCACACAAACACATTCTCAGTCTTAAAAGAAATAAAAGCTCAGCTGGATAGGAGAAAAAGTAATGAGAAAATGTTTTAATTACAAAGAACTTTATGATAACTAAAGTGCTTTGAAAAAATATTTTTTAACTGTTTTCTGGCCTTGGCAAAGCTTAAAGTGCCTAATCAAGTCATGGAGGAGATGTACAGCCTTAAAAACCTTAATTATCTGCAGTTCCAGTCCATGCTTAATGGGGAGGGGGAAATCTGGGGCCCTCTGTATGGTTTGACAAACCCTGCTCCAGTCTGCTTCCTGCAGCACTTGGGCTCCCCAGGGCCTGCTCCAGTGGTGGGTCTGGGTTTGGGTTCTCACACTTTATTTTCTTCCTCATGGCAGATTCATTGCAGAGCAGCAGATCTTGCCTCCCCCAATACAGATGCAACCAATTACCTGTAGCACCATCCGACCTCCAGCCCCATCGCCCGTCTTCTCCCCATCACTGATGATCCCACACGCCAGCTTCACATCCCACCAGGCAAACACACCGGTTCATCTCCACCAGTGGCCACAGCAACAAGTTCAGCAGCACCGTCTCTACCTTCAGGTAATGGATCTGGAACAGGTTTGTGAAGATGGTTTTGGTTCACAAAAATGATCAAAGGGCTGGAACACCTCTCCTATGAGGAAATGCTGAGATAGTTGGGGTTGTTCAGCCTGGAGGAGAGAAGGCTTCAGGGAGAACTTCTTGTGGCCTTTCAGTACTTAAAGGGGGTCTGTAGGAAAGATGGGGACAGACGTTTTAGTGGGGCCTGTAGCGACAGGACAAGGGGTGATGGTTTCAAACTAAAAGAGGAGAGGTTAAGCCTAGATATAAGGAAGGCATTTTTTACAATGAGGGTGGTGAAACACTGGCACAGGTTGCCCAGGGAGGTGGTAGAAGCCCCATCCCTGGAAGGTCAGGTTGGACGGGGCTCTGAGCAACCTGATCTAGTGGAAGATGTCCCTGCTCACTGCAGGGGGGTTGGACTAGATGGGCTTTCAAGGTCCCTTCCAACCCAAACCATTCTATGATTCTGTGAAGATGGAAGTTACATGTCCTGCAGATTTCA